TGTGTTAATATGATTGTGTTTGGGAAAAGAGCAAAGCATTCAATTCACTAAACTGTAACAGAATATCAAACAAAATAAAAAATATGAAAATATGAATTTTGAAAAGTTTATTGCTATAGTTACTCAAAACACCAAGGTTACACATAAGACTAGAACAGATTTCATTGACTTTTATATATTCAAAAACAAGTAACTACATGTTAAATTGAAATCCAAACAAAACATCTGAGATATAAAAAAATTATGCCAAGTAAAAATTTATGACAATTTAGACAACACTCAATTTTTCTTAGGAGTTTTTCTTTGGTAAAACTAAGCTTGGCACTTGGAAACTACCCACAACTTTTTTACCTGTATTATTGTTTCTATATTTTGCTTCCAAGTGCCAAGCTTATCTTTACCAAAGAAACACTCCTAAGAAAAATTCTGACTGTTGTCTAAATTGTCATAAATTTTTACTTGGCATAATTTTTTTACATCTCAGATGTTTTTGTTTGGATATCAATTGTTTTTGTTTAATAATTGTATTGTTACATCAAGACATAAGACAATGATTTACAATTCAACAGGCACTCAGCAACTGAATGTGGCACTAACCAAATGCAATGCCAAATACACTCTTTCAATATTCATTTTGATCGATACCAACCAAACATGTTACTGACAAAAATGCTACCAATCAAATGCACTGCTGACTGATGCTTTCAATATGCCATTTAAAAAATAATTTAAAAAGTTTTAATTGGCATAAATTTGAGCTTTCGTAATTCTGAGTAACATTTTGAATAAAATTCATTTGTTTTCATGCAATTTTATCTTTATAAGCATAAAATTAAGCCATAAAACTGAATTAGCTCTATGGGAAACTCCCATGAACTTTGACTTATTGACTCTAAATTTTGCAAACACCCACTGGTAACAAGAAAGGCTTAAGTTTAAAATTTGAGCTTTCTAGACCCGGTAGTTTTTCTATACAAGTGTCTGCCGTGTCGGATGAAGAAAAAGAAGAAAAAAAAATACAGCTTTTTTTTTTTGGTGATTTTTGCACTTTTCAATTGCTTATATTTTGGCAACCGCATTATAGAAAATATTGAAAGTTTGCACACTACCTAAGAAAACAATTTTCTTTCAAATGAGATATTTGGAATTACTACAGGTATTTGGGGAGCAGAGAAATTGATCCCCAAAAATCAGCAACTCTGATTCCTATATATATAGTCAGTCAGTGCATTTTTTACTCGATGGGAAGTCACTGCCATGACTTCTGATTCTATGTATTCTATTCTACATTAGATTCTACTTCTTTTTTCTTATTTATTTATTTCTTCTATTCTACATTAGATTCTACTTCTTTTTTCTTATTTATTTATTTCTTCTATTCTACATTAGATTCTACTTCTTTTTAAAACTTATTTATTAATTGAAATGTTTCAGCTGTAAGCTGAAACATTTCAATTAATAAATAAGTTTGCCAATAAAGATTTTGAAAAGTTTAATGAATTAAAAAATAATATTGCAATAAAAACAGCAACTAACCTTTCTTTTAAAATAATATTGAACTAAATAACTTACACAATATATTAAATAGCTAAATAACTTATAAAATATATAAAGTAGCTAAAGGATTTGAACTAAATCCTTCTAAAAAGAAAAGTCCTATTTCATCTGCTATATAAACAGGGTTAATTACGATACATTTAGTTAAGTAGCATATTGGAACTACATGACCACCACAAGCCACATGACCTTTACATAACCATCTGACACTCCTCTATAATAGAGCATACTTAGCAGCATATATAATAATAAAATGTTAATAAAATTTACTACATTTTTGGAAGGATATATATGTGGCCTTTCTGACACCAACTTTAGCCATTCCATAATAGACCCTGCTCTTTACACTCTTTTTAACTGAGTTCCAGCAAAGCAAATGTAGGGAAGGTAATCCATAACTGTAAGAAACAACCATCAGATTCATGTGGGAGGCCAAAGGTCCATCAAAACAAATCTTAGCCATCTTGTACACAGGTAATTGTTGCAAATGTAGTTCGGAAAGAAAACAATGAACATGAACACACACACAAACATAAAGCCATCTTGTTCAACAGTTGGATATATCCCAAAGTATTTTAGGAAATATCATTTACAATAATCTGCAGATGCAATGCAGGCACAAAGCACTTGGACACAAGCTTATTGCACACTACATCCAAGAACAATTTCACAAATGCCCAAAAGTTGTATGAAAATTTCCTTCCTAATGACAAATGGCAATAGGTTATGTCCTACAGAGTAAGGAAAAGCTCTGAAAAGGGTTTATTATAGTGGTTGGCTATTGTGCTTGTGGAAAGTTGTAACTCAAATAAGTGGATACCACGACAAAGATAAAGCATACTTCCAGAAGAAAATATCATTTATGTTGGAACAGCTGTACAAAGAAGAGATCCCCATCTGTATGGTAATGACACTTCAAAGGTCTGAATCCATAAGGACAAGACTTCCAGCCACACAGCTAAGTCATCAATGGTCTATTATGACTGGAAGGATGTTGAGACTGGAATCAAGATGATTCCATTTCTGTCCATATCTGTGAAGACCCCAGATGCCTCTGTGGATTTGATTTGTTGAAGGAAGAGCATGGAAAATAAAGATCTAAAAATGTTGATGGACATTAGAAAGTTTCAGTCAGTGTGGACCAGTATTCCTATGGAAACTGAAGTGCAGAGCCATTGTTTGGTTACATGGGAGGCATATAGCACACAATCAATGGTGGAATCCAAGATTGTATTAATTATAGAAAATATCCAAAATTGACTACTCTTATCATATTCAACCCCTGTACTGTATATTAATGTAATTTGAACATACAGTAGAGCATCGATTATCCAACTCAATTGGGATTGATCGGATAACTGAAAAAACAGATAACCAAAAAGTATGAAAAAATGCATTATTAGTATAGTATATCCCATGTAATTAGTATATTAGTATATCGCTATTAACCTACTTCGCGTTGAATTTTCATTGATGTTAAGCCTAACAATTTTTTTTAAAAAAATAATAATCGTCGCTATTGTATCGTTAAAAATTATTTTAAAATTATTTTATTGCTCACAAAACAAACAACCACTCATAATTAGAAAATTAAGCCTCGTTTAAATACTGACTTCCCTTTCATGTTTGAGTCAGTGTTGCCAGTTAAAACATGCAAAAATTTAACAAAAATAATATTAAAGTAGCCAAGACATAGCCAAATATTATAACGCCACATCACTAGCGGACATTTGAATTTGCCGACTAGAACGTGGTCGGTTAACTGATGTGACGGTTGATTGGGGGTCAGATAATCAATGCTCTACTGTATATATGAAACTTTTTATTGTTTGACAGTTACATAATTTTGATGCAATTAGTATTGCTTACAACAAATATTTATGCAATTTCATTTTCCTTTCAAAAAACAATATAGATATAACAGTATATAGATATAAAAACAGTATAGATTTCTCTCTCTTTTTTTTATTATGATTATTGGTAATGTATTACTTATAATAAAAATCAAATGGTATTTGATTTGAATTAAAGTTACATAATGAGGGAATTAAAGTTTGATACATTCATTTTTATGTCTGCATTGCAATTTTAGAAATATAGTCAACCTGCTCCTTGCCTATATCTGTTTTCAAATTAAATACATAATGGTGTTTTTCATATTATACCATATACTTAGGTAATAATTTTACTATAATAACTAAATTAGTTTGACTATTACAAAATGTGGGGTAAAGATATACAACTGTCAACTCTTCTTGAGACAATGTTATTTTGTCATAAGATATTTGGTAGCATCAATATACTTGTACAAGTTTTCAGATATAGTGGATTAATATACTATATTAATACTGATAAAAAATAAAAACAATTTATTGTAAAATAACATAGTAATGATAGAACAAGAGAAAAATTATTTAAAATAATTAGATAATGAAATATGTGCTATATATTATGCATTATACCGACTCTTCATGTACACTATATTTCTAAGAAACTATAAGTCAATTATAGTTTATCTAAAATATTACTTTTTTTTTTAAAAAAAACTTATTTCTTTATGAAAAATATGGAATAAATATTCTAATATTGATGACGATATGAACTAAATTATAATAAAATAATTCAGATTTTTATTATTTAAATATTCTTTATTTTATATTTACAATATTCAATACTATTAGGAATTTGTGATAAAACCTCTCTTACCATTAGGTGTAAAATCATATAAAAAATTATTTTATTTCTAATGAAACATAATGGAAATATGTTCCTAGTATATACTAAGTATATAATTTCCATATATTTAAAAAAATACAAATAAATTTTGTGAAAAATTCCTTTTAGAGATACATTCTAAAATTATTAACAATTAATAATAAAAAATTGTTGTATGATTTTTTATATAAAAATTTCTAATAAAGTTGTTAATAATCAATATTTTCAGGTATATTAAATCCAATTTATAAAATAAACTCTTATCAGATAAAATTTAAGAGCACTGTCTGCTGGCATTAATAAACTTTAATAAGTGAAATAGAAAAAAACCATGCAAGTACTTTTTACATTTATAGAATGTCATATCTTCAGGTGTAGAGAAAACAAATTTTAAACATTAATATTTGTTTTTTTTGTGTCTTCCTTATTACGGCTTATTAATGTCAATAGATAGTGCTCTTAAATTTTATCTAGTAAGAATTACTTTGCACAAGAAGATAATTATTTCTTTCAAAATAAACTACATTAAAAAACTAAGATTTAATTTATTTCCACCAAAACCTTTAAAATTTCACTCTTGGAATTTTATCATCAAATTTAAGAAAATATCTTTTGAATTTTTTCTAACATTATTGATGTTAGCATTTTAAAATGAATTAAGTTTTAAAAGTTATCGAAAAGTGTATTCAAACTAATTTCATTTCATATTAAAATGTTAGATAGATCACCTATATAAGAATTATCAGTAATTCTTTTTCGACGTGGATTCCTTCTTAATAAATCCATTTCAAAACTGCTGGGTTCCCAAGGATAATACTGTTCTTTCATGCCTGAAAACATGTCTGTAAATTAAAAAAATGATATATCTTGCTATAACCTATTTTATAATTCAAAAAAATAATTTAAAAATCATTTTATATTTTTCAAAGTTTAAAATTGGCATTAACATTAAATATAGTATTGTTACAAAAATTATTTTCCTTTGATAAAATTTCTAAATTACTCGATGCTTAAAAAAGTTGAACACACATAAATCAGTTAAACAATATTTAAATCATGTTTTTGGAGAATATAGAATTTCTTTTTTATTACTCATTGAGTTTTAACACTCATTATGAATACAATTATTAATAAATTAATTAATATTAGATGTATTATAACAATATCTTCAATACAAAAAACTGTTACTTTTTTATAGTGTAATTATATCAACTCAGTATTTATTTTTTTACATGTCAATAAAACAGTCAAAATATTTTCTAGCTTGTAAGAAATTTTTAATGCAAAAAATTTTGAAAACCAAATTAATACCTATCATTTATGATTTAAAGGAATATAGTATAAATAGTATCAATACAATAGGAAAAACAGTATAAATACAAAACCAATATGAAAAAAATTTTCTATTATATCTGAATGTTTAAATTTATAAGATTATTATAAGACTTGCATATTTAACATGCATAAGAGAAAGAAAATAATTAAAAAATATTCATATTTTTTATTTGTAATATTTGTTATTGTTCTTAGATTTAAGTTTTCAGTTTAATAGTTTGTTGCAAACTGTGTATTCAAATGTTAATAATCTTTTCACTGAACTATCACTATCTCTCAAATTTTATAATCTTCACATCTTCCAAACATTATTATATTAGAAAATAAGAAAAACAAAAATATGTGTAATTATGCAATTTATAGGCTTTGAACTTTTGAAGAGGATTATTATTAAAAACATTCAGAGAGTACAAAACATTTTCTCACTTTGGCTTCATGTGATTATGTTGTTTTAAATTCAATTCAAATTATAAACATTGAAAAAAGCTGTAGAAAACCTCTTAACACTTCTAGTTCATCAATTTTCAGAATATCAAATTTTTTTTCCTTTTATAATTCCTAGGACAAGATGATATAAAATGGTCAAGATAATAAACATATCATTATCATAAGTAAATAAAATATTAACCTACTGGTGAGGGGCGGAGCCCTACATATCTGAACGGACCACCCCCGAAAAATTCCTGGGGATTTTTCGACCCGTTTGGATTCAAGCCCGGGTTTCCCAGAGCGGTAGGCTGCCACCTTGACCGCTCAGCCATCCGGCCATATTAACCTACTGCAATAAACCAGTTTCCTACTTTTTTACTATCAGATAACCCAAAATCATCACAGTACTATCTATCATGATTTCAGATGTCTGACAACAAAAAATGACTAGTATTATATGTCTATAAATGAACAAATAGTATATACAAGTTTTCTGTTAAATTCTTTAAAGATATTTTTATAATCTCCCATTTAACTGAGACTTTTTCAAATAACTAACCACCATTCTTATTTTGATCATATCTGAGAGCATATGTTAAGAGCATTTGTATTATACATGGTGATACAATTAAAGTGAACCAGTCCCATAATTTGAGAGTGATTAACGATGAGAGGATAAGACAAATTATAGCCAAACAAGGTACAAGAGAATTATACATGCCCAAAAGTTGGTGAATATATGTATTGAAGACCAGACAGATTAACAAAAGTCCCCACAGGACCCATAAAGTCCAATGGTGTATGCCTGTATGGGATCAAAAATGGTACCATCACAAAGTACATAAAAACTTAAACAACATTTACTCTGGGGTAATTTTTGATAACTTGTGCCATTGTCAAGTAAACACAAACATCAAAGCCAGAAAATCCAGAGAGGCAAGCACATAAACAAATGCAACTGTCATTAGCATGCATATTTACTGCTTCGTGTGATAGGTATGTGCCTAAATCACTTCCCAGGAATTATATAGTGTGCGCAAACAGGCATTCAAAGCTGCATTACAAAGTTTCTTCAGGAAAATGGATATTACTTTGAATATATGATGTTAGTAATAAAGAAAACAGTTGTCTTGGGAACAACTGTTTTCTTTATTACTAACATCGTATTAAAAATTACTAATTGTACTAGTTCTTTGCAAGTATTTAATAAAACTGCTTTTATTCTTTGTTGGAGTTCGTTATTGTATTTTTACAATTTGGGACAGGAACAATTATCTTTATTGCCATGGATTTAGATGTTAATAATGCAAGGTTCTACAGTCACAAGAATATATTTACCACTGTTATCTACAGTCGAGTGCAGCAAAGTGCATGTGTTGTGGTCAATATACGTGGGGGGACCAAAAAAAACCGGATTTTTTGTATAAAAACTTTATTTATTAACTTTTTTACAAAATTTCTTCAGTCACCTTCAAAGTACTCTCCATTAGATGCGATGCACTTGTCAAGTCTTTTTCCCCAATGTTTGAAGCATTTCTGGAACTCTTCAACCTTGATTTCATCCAGTGCCCTTAGCGAAGCTTTTTTACCGCCTCCACATCATCAAAACACTTCCCTTTTAGATTTTTCTTCATTCTCGGAAACAGGAAAATGTCGCGCGGGGCTAGGTCTGGTGAATATGGAGGGTGGGGAACAACAGGCCATCCCCGAGAGGCCAAATATTGGGTCACTCGTAAGGCCGTGGTGTGGAGGTGTTGTCGTGATGAAGGAATCAGTCACCTGATTGAGAAAAGTTCCAGGCGTTTCCTTCGCACATCCTCTCGCAGACGTCTTAACACTTTTTTGGCAGATTTTTTCAATGTTTTCATCATTTTGAGATGTTGAAGGACGCCCAGAACTTTGCAGGCGGAACAAAATAACAGTAAGAGAAACATAACATTACGTTCAAATGTAAACCTACAAACTGATGCCGTTTGCACAGCTGTTTTGTGAAGGTCTCTACTAACCCCATGTAACAGGAGAACTCTCTACTACGTCTACATATGGCAGCACGCTCTCAGTTTGGTTTTTTTGGGGTCCCCCTCATATATATATATATTTTATTTTATTTATCAAAAAGACACTGTGGCCAAATAGGCCTTTTTCAAGTATCTACAAACAAAACCGAAAAATAAAACAAACAGTAAGCGGTCAGTCGCCAAAAGTGTTGTCTGGAACACAAAGTTAATAAATGGTGGTTCCTATATTTTTTTGGAAAGGACTTTGTCTTCAAAAGAATTACTCTTACTTTTAGTCATTCCCAATTTATAGAACTGGTTCACTTTATTCATAACACCCTGTATATAAAAAATAATTTAAAATTATACATTTTTTAAATTTCTCTCGTAAATTTATATAAAAATGCTGGACATTTTGGTTATAAGTTAGTTATGACTGAAGTTGATATATATTGGATTCCTAAACCATTTTATGAATTTAAAATTTTTATCTGAAAAACAGTTTAATTTCATTAAACCATGTTAACAACTTTAATGTTTAGGAATAAACATATGTGTAATTACTATTACGTACTAATACATCATAAGAAAATGCTCTTTCTCTAACAAAAATGAAAAATTATGGATTTAGTGGATTTCAATGTTTATATAGAACTATATAATTGGTAATTCTATAGTAATAGTAATCATAATTTGAAATCTACTTATTTGAAGTAGAAAAAATGCAATAATCAATAATCAAATTGAGATGGATACAGGTTTCTTTCAGGAGTCAGGGAGATGATATCTCCAGAAATTTAAAAATATCCTTTCATATAGCCTGATATATAACACATTTTGTAAAAACAATTATTGTTTCTACATATCTAAATATAAAAAATTACTTGTCCTGACTGACTGAGTTACTGATTCATCATTGCCCAGAGCAAACCGCTGAACCTAAAGAGGTGAAATTTGGTACACAGTTAGGGTATGTCATGAAAACACACACTAAGAAGGGATTTTTTGAAATTTCCCTGCGGGGGAGAGGGAAAGCATTAACCTATCTGATGTTGAAATTTTTATCTGTTGCCTGTGATGCCATGTTGAACTTTTGTCGATGTTAAGCCTAAAAAAATTTTTTTTTTAAATAATAATTGTGTTTACTGTGTCGTTAAAAATTATTGTTTTTATGTTGCACAAACAAAATAAATATATTGAAAAATATAGAAACAAAAAAAAATTATATTTCAAAAGTTTCTTTTAATATAAAAATTGTGATGCATAGCAACATCTAGTATCAAAAACGTTCCGATGTAGACACGAAAATATTCGGGATTGCCCACGCAGGTCAAGGAGGTCAACATGAATATTTTCGGGAACAACACAGGACACATTAAGGCTTAACCGGAAGAACAGCTTCTACTGTACTATTTTAGATGCAATTTTTTGTTTTCAACTATGTTTAGTCTTCATTGAGTACTTAGGTGTATTAAATTGATAACATTTCAGATATTGTTATAAATATTTTTATATATTTCGATTTTTTAACCAAATGTTTGAACCATTTGTTATTGCATATTGGTTCGATTATAGAACGATTGTAAATGTTCCAGAAAATTGATCAAATTGAAAACAGTTTGTTTGATTCTCAGCAATTCTCATTATTCTCAGTAGTAGGTGTTATACAATATAACAATTACTATGGTTATTGAAATACTGAATATGAATGGGGTTTGCTTGTAAAACCTCCACAGGCAAAGTTGCGGGTAACAGCTAGTGTATATATATATATATATGTATATGTTACCGCTAAAGCTTGAAATCCTTTAATGTGTACATTACCTAGCTAATCTGCAGATTAACTAGGGTAATCTGTTAAAGCTGCTAAAATTGTTCAATTTCTCAAATTACCTAGGTAATTCGCAGAGTATCTAGGTAATCTGCACATTAACGGCTTCCGTATCGTTAAAGTTCAAAAGTTTGTTTCGTTCACTTCCTTTCCCCACTTCTTATTTTTACGTAGATAAATTTAAATCCTAGAATGCCAGCAAGCATCGAATTGGTGAGTAAAATCAAGAAAAGATTTTTCACAAACCTCTTCAGCGAAGATTTAAAATATAATACGTAGTGTTTCAATAACAAACCAAAGTATGATTTTTTAATTAAAGATGTAAAGCAAATAAAAGTTTCCAAGAAGAAAAAATCATCTCCAGATTATCAAATAATTCAAAGGTGTGATGTGTTGACTGAACGAGGCTGTGAAAAACTCATTGAGCCGTTGTCAGATGCGCGAGAAAAGTTTGAAAAAGTTTGTCCATGCCGGAGAATTGTTTGACATTCGATAAAAACTGAAGAAGACCTTGAAAAATTAGAAGATTCACAAGAGACTGTGATTATGAGATCACAGTCAAATCTTACTCAAGAGGACATTCCGTTATCCCCCGCTTCTACAGAATCACCTATAGAAATACAAGAATTTACCGATAGTAATCTTAAACTGCCTTCTATACCGTTGATTGATGATGCAGTCACGAAGAATATTCAGTTACCCTGCACCTCCAAGGAATCGCCTCTGCAAGTTGAAGAAGTCATCACTGAGTTACTCTCAACTTCAGCAGAATCGCCATCACAGTTTCGTACGGAGCCTGTAAAGAGCACTATACAAGACATAGTCTGTATTGTTTGCTCAAAAGCAGCATCAAGTGCTCACAAGTGTAAATCGTGTAATATGTTTGTTCACGCAGTTTGTGGTGAAGTAGATCCTAAAGAGGAAGGGTATGGTAAGAATGTATTGTGCATCATCTGTAAAAAGAATATGGATCAGAAAATACAGCGTGATGAAGCCAAGAAATGTTTAGAAAAGCAAGCAAAGAAAATGTTAGCAGTTTCTAATGCAAAGCACCCAAACGTCGATGAAGGTTTCGCTGTGAGAATTAAAGTACCCGAAGAAGACAGAGCAAAAACTGATGCACGTTCAATTTTAGCTGTGGTTCTTAGTAAAACAGAGGATGGCTTTTATAAACTTGATACTAAAACAGGTATTTTAAAACAATTGTATGCAAAATCTGAATTCAGTGTTTGCAAAGAGAGATTTTTAACGAAAGAAGATGGATGTCCCTGCTGTAGAAATATCTTTACGTCAAACAGCAATAAAACAATCCCTTGGTACTGGGCAGGGTTTCAGAAAATGTGACTGCAAATCTAAATGTACCACAAATAGGCGTGCTTGTCGCAAAAACCAATTGCTACGTAATTCAAAGTGTCACCAATCTTTAGATTGCACTAATAAGTAAGTACAATTTTATCATATGTTTTGCAAATTCATTTCCCTAATTGTAGTAATATTTTAAACCGTTTGATTTTTGTATTAAAGTTTTTTTAATTGATTGATGATTGATTCAATCAACTAATTTGTTGATTGTATTAACTTGATTCTTTAGATATTGAAAATTAAATAAATAACATTATGTTAATTTAAGCGTACAGAAACGTTGCTGTTGTTCCAGCAAAAATCTTATTTTCACTTTACCGAGTGCCTAGTAGGTAATTTGCAGATTACCTAGATAATCTGAACATTACCTAGGTAATTTGAGAAATGAAATAATTTTTGCAGCTTTAATGGATCACCCTAGTTAATCTGCAGATTAGCTAGGTAATGCGCACATTAACAGATTTCAAGCTTTAGCGGTAACATATATATAAATTGACCAACCAATTGTATCTATCACGCCCTTAAATAAGAAAAATACTCGCAGAAAATGTTTTCTGAAAGAAACACTGGATGGATATGTTATATAAAATAAAAAAAAAACTGATGTTAAAAATTGTATTTATATGTATATTTGTTTATATTTAAATGTATTTTATATTGGATTATCTACCTAGTAATCTTGCAGCTCTTCTCCTTTGTTTACGAGCTATAGCTTCTAATTCTTTGTCGTATACATAATCACTGCAGGAAAAACAGTAGACAGCTCCATATGATACATCAACAGCTATAAAAATATAATAATTAAATATTTTTACAATTTAGAATTAAAATTCAACAATATATAAATTATAAAAACAATCAAGTCTGAATATTGTAATCATTAACGAACAGATTGATTTTGGGCTAGGACTTAAATACAATCTCAGCAGCTATTATTAATTATTATTATAAACAGTAGCCAAGTTCTAGCCCAAAATTAATCATCTAGCATAATGATTTAAATATGAATTAATATATATGTTTATTAATTCATATATTACCAATACCACGAATAACTTTTCTAATTTTTTATTTATTGACATGAAAACAAAGTACAATTAAATAGCAGGAATCTTTCAAAATCGCTAATTTTCCTCTATTTTTAAATATAGTCACCATACTTGTAGACACATTTATCCCAGCATACTACCAGCTGTTCTGTGTCCATGTGAAAAACACTTTGTCCTGATTATTTGTATAGCCATTTGTATATTTCAAGTTGCACCCCATAATTTGAGCAGTAACATATCCCTCAGAGATGCTTCTTGAGTTGTGAGAAAAATATGGAAATCTGAAGGGATCAAATTGAGTTTATAAGAAGAATGGGCTAAAACCTCCCATTTTCACTTCTGCAGCAATGCAACTGTCTTTGGCAGCATTGTGAATTGTCATGAAGAAGAACAACACTATGAAACAGAATAAATAACTTCTTGTGATGAATGGCCTCCTTCAAATAAGCAAATATATCCTAATAAGAAAGCATTGGCATTGGCATTTATTGTCATCTCCTTTGATGAGAAGTCTTTATATAGATACTCATGAATGCCCCAAAATTCAGTTGCCAAAACTATTCCAGCACTTGCTGACATTTTGAACTTCTTGTTGAAAGGGAATGCCAGATGCTTCCATATCATTCTTAATGTTCTTGATTTCAGATTGGAAGTGTTAAACCCAAGTTTCATCTGCTGTGAAAATGGAATTAAAAAGATTTTTTCCCTGTTCTACATAACAGCATAGATGTTCTAAAGCTAGATCTATTTGCAGATACTTTTGAATAATCTGGAGATATTCTGAGACTGGACAGACTGTAAGAGGCTATCTGTCACAAAAGACCTGGGACAATTCAAAAGGAATAATTTTGTTACATGAATGTGAACCCCATATTGACATCACCTGTTGCTAAATTGAAGATTTTTGTAGAGAGGTTTTGGAACATCCTATCCACAACCTGAACCAGTCTTTCAGCAATTATTAACTGTTTGAGCCAACAAAAGACCAACTCAATGGACAAAGATCTGAAATTGAAGAAGACCTGCTACACTGTTTTTAACTGGCTGGAGTTGCTCAACACAACTTTCTTCTTTGCTAGAATGAATGCATTAATCTGTAGGTGATTAAATGCTTGCATAAATATGGAGACTATGTGGAGAAGTAGTGTGAGTATGCATCTATCTTCAGGTTATAGTTACATTTTTCTACAAATAAAAGTATGTCCATAAATTCATTTGTTACCTTATTTATTAATCTGCCTACCTTTTTATAATTATTTTATTTTATTAATTCTCTATATAGAGATTGAAATTCTCTATATAATTTTAATTCAAATAAAAAACAAACTAAAAAAATTCATTAAAAAATTCAAATATTTTGATGAATAATCTTAAAAATTCTAAAGAATGAATGACATGTAATTATTAGCTTGTAGTTTAATTTCATTATGAGATGAACAATGAATATAAAGTACAGTATTGTCTTCCCAATCCAGTTCTTAATAATCCGGTCTCTCAATTATTCAGCAATTCCTAGTGTGATCACCTATGTGCTTCTATTCACTTGAAAATGTTAATCATATCATGCATTCTGTTTTCCTGGGATTCAGATTCATTTCTGTATACAGTATTGCATGTCAGCACACCATATTTGACCATCTATCTCCAAAAAGACTCAGTACTGAAGGGTGACAGGTCATGCCATTCATTGCCTTTAGGTCACATCATTCATTGCTTTATCAGTAATCCAACACTGACTAATCTGGCACACCACTGTATAGAGAATAGCAGATTAGCATGAGTCTGGTGTATTAGATATTTCTGCATATTCATTCATTTGATGTTATAAGCCAATAATTATTATACACCATACTTCATTGAGTAGCATTACATTAGTAAAAATTAAAATAAATTTAATTCATATGAATTATACAGAGANTATCTCAACTAAATGGTATATTTTTAAAATTTGCATTAAAATATTTAAATAATTTTTTTTCAAATAGATAGATATATATTATGATTTTAACACCTGAAATTTTTAATGTATACATATCATACTTGCCAACTTTAGATTATAAATGAGATTTACTTTATAGCTAGGAAAGGCTGATTTGTTGAGATAACTTGCTGAAAGAAGTGAGAAACATGGTCTCTTGTTGATTACTTTCAAATTGGCTTTCTCATACCAAAAGGCGGATAATTTTGTATAACTATTACATTTTGAGTAAAATTCCATACATGGAAATCTTTTAGAAAAGTTAATTTCCATAATTTAATCAGAAATTTAAAGCTCTTATTGAAATTCTTGTATGTGAATTGCAACATTGAATGCAAAGAAAATATTATTTTTGAAATGTGGACAAGTTCTAAAAGAACCACAATACAAGCAAACTTGTATTTTGATTGGGAATTTTAATATTAGTCATAAATTGATATTGTTCTTTAATCTGCCAGGGTTTAGGTCAGGGGTCACCAAAGTGGTTGATACCAACCCTCAGGGATCAATATAACATTATTGAGGGTCGACAGAAAAATTTAAACTAAAAATTATTATACATATTATTATGTTTTTTGAATATTGTTTCAATGAATTTAATAGTACAGCGTTTTGCAGATTTAGAAAATATTGATATCACAGAATGGATCATGGTGCCATTTTTTGCTCAAATCGAAAACGTCTACATCAACTTGCAAGATGAACTTATTGAATTATTAGCTGATCTTGAAGCAAAAACACTTTTTAAAAAAATTTAAATTTGAGCAATTTCTGGATGAATATAAATATAACACAAAAATACACAAATCTTTGTGATATGGTAAATCCTTTTTTTTGCTGGCATCAGCCATGATAATTCCATCTTAACTAAACACAGAAATAAGTTGAATGTGGAACTTCAAAGCAATTTAAGACTAAAACTTACAAATTTTGAACCAGATGTTGCTAATCACGCTAAGGATCATCAAGCTCACCTGTCTCATTGATTGTCAGTTACAAAAATTATTATTAACATATATACAATAAATGTAAAAATGTAAAATTAAAAAAAACACATATTAAAATAGTAAGAGTTTTTTTTTCCTTGTAACACAAACTTTTCAGTGGAGTCAATGCAAGGTTTTGAAAAGTTGTAGGGGGGTCAATGATCAAAAAAGTTTGGCAACCCCTGGTCTATGCAGTCAAGAATCCTTAGCTTAATCTTTAAGCTTA